ATTATAAATTTATAAGACCCCTCCTCAAAATTATTTAACAAGAGCCACCTAATTATATGATATATTAATATAAATAAAATATAAAATATAAAAAATTAAAAAATATAAAAGAAATTGTATTTCACTTAAAAGAAATACAACAAGGGATATATCCCTACAAAATGACTTGTTTGTAAAATAAAATAATTTTAAATATGTTAAATTTTGGTAATCAGGGGACTAAGATATTGAAAAAGCATCATTATCCGCGGAAAAAAAATTAAAATGAGAAAACTTTATTGTCACTTGTTTATATTGTGATTTATTATAGGATTTATTGAAATTTGGTATTGACAATATGGTTCTATTACAATTAAGTATTCTCTAATAAAGGTAATGATGGTTACAAATTTTGCATAAAATTATAATACGTTGTCTAAATTCTTCAAATTTCTCAGCATTGTACGAATTTTTTGTTTTCTATATATGATATAAATTTCTTATAAAAATTAAAAATAAAATATACAAACTTTCTTTGAATTTTTAAAAATTATGTGCATAATAAATTATATAGTAATCTAAATTTTAATAAAATTATATAACTTTTATTTTCAATTAAAATCTGTGATTGTTTTAAAAATAAAATTTTACTTTTTTATAAAGAAAATAAAACTTTAATTTTTACCTGACTGAAAAAAAAATTGTGTATTTTTCTGATTGATCATTACACCAGTTGTAAACTTTGAGAGAAATCAAGTTTAATATAGTGAATTTTATTAATGTAGGAGATTCGGATAGGGATAATATGATATTTTTTAAATTTACATCGAAATATTTGATCATTTTAAATAATTTTAATTTTTATGTCATCTCGTATAGACATCACTCTCTATTAATCCTTCGCTCTAACTCTTCCAATCAAAATTCAGCTCACTAGGGCTCAGCGAATATCCACGCCCGGCATGCCCATCCCCCAAATGTTGTCATTTGTGAGATAAGAAGAGATACCCCTCCTCTTTTCTCTTTTTTCTTTTTTTCCAAATTTCTATTAAATTAATCCTGATTTCTCTTTAATTTTTAAACCTGATTTCTCTCAAAGTTTATACAGGTAGTAAACTTTGAGAGAAATCAGGTTTAATATAGTGAATTTTATTAATTCATATTAGTTTTAAAACTAAAATGTATGAGGAAATATAGAAGAAAATATAGGAGATTTGGATAGGAACAATATGATATTTTTAAATTTATATCTAAATATTTGATCTTTTTAAATAATTTTAATTTTTATGGTCCTCTCTTGTAGCTATCACTCTCTATTAATCTTTCTCTCCAATTCTCCCAATCAAAATTCAGCTCACTAGGGCTTAGCGAATATCTAAGCAAGGCATGCCCATCCTCCAAATGTTGTCATTTGGGAGATGAGATGAGATACCCCTCCTCTTTTTTTTTTCTCTATTAATTTAATTTTTATTTATTTGGGTTAATTTGTATCTAGAACTCTAAAATATTTTTTTAGTAACACTCAATATTCTAAATTAATTAATTTTTAATGAATTCTGTATCCTGAAATATTTTTTCAGTAATACCCAGTATTCTAAATTATTTTTATTAAATCTATCATCCTGAAATATTTTTCTAATAGCAGCCACCCACTATCCTAAATTAGTTATTTTTTAGTGAATCAAGCATTCAGAAGTATTTTTTCAGTAGAACCCAATATTTTGAATTAATTAATTTTAGTGTATTCAGTATCTTAAAATATTTTTTAATAACACACAGCGTCACAAAAAATTAATTAATTTAGAATACGGAATTATTCTAAAAAATATATTTTAGAGTGCGAGATACAAGTTAACCTACGTAAATTAAAAATAAAATTAATAGAAATTATTTTAAAAATAGGAAGGGTATCTTATCTCATCCCAAACGTTGTCATTAGAAGTGAGAATACGGGCTGGCCCTGTAGGGCTTGTGGGCTTAAAAGGGCTGGCTCTACAAGGCCAAAATGTTAAAAATACCCCAATTTGTTAGGCTGAGCCCTTAAGCTAAAAGGCTCAGGACCGGCCAGTAGGCGTTTAGCTCATTTAAGAAAAAAATGCTATTTTTTTTATATTTCTCACATTTTTTTCTTAATAAACCAATAAAATTATTAATAAAAGACATAAATATAAATAAAATTAAGTTATAAATACAAAATATCATCATATATAAATATCTATCATCATTCAAGAACATTTAAAACATTTATCAATAAGAAAAAAACATCTAAAAGTTTCATTGATAGTACAAATGTGTAATAAACAAACACTATCAATAATATTTTAAAACTTCATCATCACTATAATCAATTACTCTTCTTCATAAGTATACTTTTCTTTTGTAGAAAAAATATCAAGTTTTTCTTCTTCATAGGAATTTCACTTTTAAATTTTTTCAGTTTAGTTATTATTTTACTTTAGTTTGAGAAACATTGTTGTTAAAACTCATAAATTTCTAATTCAAATTATAAAATCACAAATTATATAAATATAAAAATACTCTCTTATCAAATATATATAGTTTAAAAATATTAACACATATAATATAAATCAAATCATTGTTAAAGTCTAAATTAACTCATTTTTTAAAAATGTAATTGGACAAATTATTGTCTAAAACTAAATAAATCAAACCATTATGTAAAATTTAATTTTAAAATAATAATAATAATAATAATAACTAAATATTTGAAATATCATTAACAACGTAAAAAATTAATAATATTAAAATTACATAAAAAAATTTACAAAAACAAAAAAAATTATAAAATGGCCTAAACGGGCCGACTCTTGGCCTAGTAGGGTTGGCTTGTTTAAGCCCTTGGCCTTACAGAACCAGCCCTTTTAAACCCATTTTCCATTTAAGGGGAAAAATTTTAAACCTGACCCTTATAATTTTCGGGTCTAAATAGGCTAACCCGATGGGCTCAACCTGTTTTCGTAACTCTAGTTGTCATGCTTAGAGATTCATTGCCATGGCCTGGGAGGGTTGGTCCGCCTGGTTGACAAGGGGAAGGCAAGGCGCCACGTACCCGCCAGTGCATGGGTTCGATCATGGGAAGTCCCACCTGGGGTGACTCCGGATTTAGTCTGCACCCAAAGGGTGTGGGATACCGGAGGGAGAAATCCAGAAAAAGAAATTCATTGCCATGTGGACACAGCAAATGCGGGTCAATTGTGGGCTAAGATTCATCTTTCCGAGTTTGGACTCTCCACTTCAAATATTGCTCTGTGAAGATGTTGTCTTCTACCACTACAAGGTATGCCTTCCTTTAATTTCCCCTCTTTATTCCTTCATCTGCTTCTTGCTTCCTTATCTCTTTACCTCACACCCTCCATCCCAAGTTCTTCCTTCATTCCTATTCTCCAAATCTAAATGACATCTAGGGCTGTTCACAGGACGGATTAGAACCGGGACGGGCCCGTCCTGGTTCCATCCCGATGAACAGTAACAGGACAACAAAATTGTCCCGTGTCTCGTTCCATCCCGGTATTGTCTCAATCCTGCTCGGGATGGGAGGGACTGGGACGTCCTAATATTTTTTTTTTTTAATTTTTTGAGTTGTTGGGCCTATTGCAAAAAAATTTGATTTTTTTTAATTGTCGTTTTTTGGGCTTAGCCTTGTAAAAACATCTTTTTGTTTTCTTTTTTATTTCTTTGAGCACCCTTAAACAAAACCCAAAATATTACATATATTAGTCATTAAAAACTCTAAATAAAAGCTTTGAACACAATAAAAGTTTGTTGGAAATTCTAATCATTAATAGTCTCAAATTATCAACAAATATAAAAGCTCTAAATAAATAAGTCCATAGTGCCATACAATAACCTCAAATCTTAAGAAAATATGAAAAAAATATATTATATAAATATGATAAATAAATAAAAGGGACTAGGACTCGACAACCCAATCCCGTGTCCTGTCCCATCCCAATCCCTTTTTTGTCCCATCCTAGTTTGTTCTGACCGGGACGAGCCGGTCTTGAACACCCCTAATGACATCGCATATGTCATTTATTCATTCAATCGCATACTTCGTAACCGTTCCTCTCCCTCCATCTTTGAAATTAACAAAACTTTGGGAGCCATTGTTTAAATAAAAAAAAAAAGGCATTATTGCACTGCTATTTCACTTTGTTCTGAGGTGGAGTTGGAGGGTTTCACTCCACGTCCAGATTTTCTGAGCATTTTGATCAATTGTTACTGCCATGTGGGTCAGATGGGCTTTGCTTTCTCTGTATTAGGGAAGATTTTGAAGATGGGTTTAACCGAATATTATAACTTTAACTACATTATTCAAGGGACTTTGTATTAGTAACATGGTTGGAGAAGCATTAGATTTTCACGATGAGCTAATTGCAAAAGGAATTTTGTTGGATGAAGTTAGTTATGGCACAATAACCAACGGATTATGTAAAACGGGGAAAACAAGGTCTGCTGTCAAATTACTCCAAAAGCTGCCTAGATTTGCAATGAAGCCTAGTTTAGTTATGCATAACATAGTCATTGATAGGCTTTGTAAAGATGGATGTGTAGGTGAGGCGCTTGGCTTGCTTTTAGATATGACTAAACAGGAAATATTTCCCAAGGATGCTACATACTGTTCTCTAATTAGAGGATTTTGCAAAATCCATCAATGGAAAGAAGTTAATGACTTGCTCAACAATATGTTCCCAAGAGGCGTCAACTTGAATGTTGTCACCCTTAATGTACTGGTGGATGCACTTTGCAAAGATGGAATTATCATTGAAGCTTAAGCTGTGTTTGCCAGAATCATGAAGACTGGTCAAAAGCCTACTGCTATTTCCCATTCTAGTTTAATAGAAGGACATTGTCTGATCAATAATGTACAAGAAGAATTGGAAGTATTTAACAGGATGATTAAAAGTAGTTTGAGAGCCAATGTTTTGTGTTACATCATTTTGATTAATGGATATCGTATGAATAAAAGATTGGATGAGTTCATATATCTCTTTAAGAAAATGCGTTCAAAAAATTTGGTTCTCCACACAGCATGTTATAATTCTCTTATTGATGGCTTTTGCAAAGTAGGAAGAATCTCATTTGTTCATGATGCTCTTGATGAGATGCATCGCAGTGGCTTGAGACTAGATGTTTTGAGCTATGCCATTTTGATTAATGGTTATTGTAAGGATAAAATATTGGATGAGGCCATATATCTCTTTAAGAAAATGCGTTTAGAAAATTTGGGTCCCGGAACAGTATGTTATAACGCTCTTATTGATGGCTTGTGCAAAGTAGGAAGAATCTCATTTGTTCATGATCTTCTTGATGAGATGCATCGCTGTGGCCATCCTCCTAATATAATCACTTGTAGTGTTTTGTTACATGCAATATACAAAACACAGAATCTTCATCGAGCAATTGCACTATTTGAGCATATTATGAGAGAAGAAATTCGGCCTCCTATCCGTACCTACAATATTCTTATGGATGGTTTGTGCTTAGGTGGAAGACTATACAAGGCAAGAGAAATTTTTCAGTCTTTTGATGCAAGGTCGCCATCTAAGCGTCGTTTTCCATAATATTATGATCAAAGGACTTTGCAAAGAGTGTTTGTTTGATGAGGCAAAGGCCCTTATTGATAAAATGGAAGAAAATGACTACATCCCTAACATGATAACCTCTGAAACTATTATTGGATATCTTCTTGATAAAAATGAGGATAATGATGCAGAGAAGCTTCTTCATATGATGGTTGGTAAGGGCTTATCGTTAAAATGAAAATAAGTGAGGCCCTCTATTGCTTATTTGTTTCTACCAAAAATTGTCGCATCTTATTGTTGATTGTTGATGTCCTGTTCAAGTCATGTGTACTTAATTTTTTGTCTTTTTTCGGTTAGCATTGTTAAAATTTTTGACTTAACATGATTTTGTTCTTTTTCTTAATGTCTGGTTACTAGTCTGGTTACTAATTTTTTTCAACTGTTTGGGATGCATCTCTCATTGCTTATGCATTAGTGTATTAGATTGCTAAAACAGAGTTTTCTTTTATGTCATCGGTTCGGTTTGAAACTTTTAAACTCAATGGAACAATAATTTTCACTATAATGAAGAACCTGAACTTTACCTGCATATGTTCTGTACGATACGTGAAATAAAGCAAGTGTCTTATTTCTGTAAATACCAAAGTGGTTCATTTTGCATCAACAATTTTTCAAGTGTTTTTGTTTTTCTTGTGGATGGTTAGGAGATTGATGAACCCATTGAGAAGGTTGTTTCAAGCGAGACTTTGGAGGAATCTGACATCACCAATGACGTCAATTAACATCACCAATAACGTCAATTAACATCTTTAAAACCTTTGTTTATTGGACTTTCATTGGCATGTACATACTATATGCCAATGTTTAGACACAAACTTTTTTATATTAATTGAAGTACCCTTAGTTCGGTTGTTGTTGTTGTTTGTCCGTTTATGTAATATGCACAAATTGAATTTGAGCTTTGATTTGAAATCTGCATGATGCTGACTAGGGAGTCCATTTATAATGCCAAATATATCAATGTTATTTATGACACTAGCACTTGAATTATTGAAAAGCTTTTGCATCACACTGACAGGCATAAAATAAACTTTTAAGGTTGTTGGGAAGAGTATTGATATATATATGTGTGTGTGTGTATGTATGTATCTATGTCACGCAGGTTTTATATATTATGCTTAATATTTAACTCCACTTTTCATAAATAATTGCAAATCCTTGAAATAATTAAAAATAACATATAATAGCAGTATTTGCTGAATTAACCTTAACCACTTAGCTGATAATTATGGGTTTTCTAGCATGATTTCATTACTAGTCTTGCAGCCATGTTGCATGATTTCATATTATTAGGGAAAAGTTGCAAGTTTGATCCACTTATAATCTCAGGTCATCTGTTTGCCCCTTTAATTGAAAAAGCATGATGCCGTGGCAACTTAATTGTCTGCGGAGGGAGAGATACAGGAGCATGCCATGTTAGTTTCTTAATGTTTTTTTATTATAAAATGTGTGATTCCTTTTCATTAAAAAAAAAAAAGAAAAAAGAACCCCAGTTCTCTCTATTTATTCAAAAAGCCTTCAAAAACAATTGAAAATTTTTCTGTTATAATAATATGACTATTTTGATACTAGTATACTACCTCTAATTCTTAATATAATAGTATTATTAAAGTTGTTAATATCATTACAAGAGTTATTACCGTGTTAATGAAGTTAAAAAAATTCCACTTTCATAATTTTCTGAAAAATAGTTTACTAGTTGCGTTATTAGAACTTGTTTGTATTTGTTTATCTTTAATGTTTATAAGTACTTTCGTCTAATCCAACATAAAAACTCACATTGCATACTTACTTATACTTATTTTGCATTCTGTAAATTATAACTAAAAAATTGCTTCTAAAGGTTACAATCGCCACTTTAAGCAAAGTCTTAAACATTAAGAGTTAAATTGCATCACAAATTAGTTGAGGACAGTAGATGCAATAGAGCCATCAAAATAGGCTGAGCCCATCGAGCCAACCTATTTAAGTCCTTTTAAGTAAAAGGCCGGGCTTGTATTTTAGGAGGTTCAAAAGAAAATTGAATTTAAAAGGGTTAGCCCTTTATGGCTCAAAAATAAAATGGCTAGCCTGTTAGGGCCAAGCTTGATTATTTTTTTTATCAAGATATTTATACAATCATGAATTAGTCTTTTATGGATAAGTTTGATTTAGAAAAATATTTAAAATAACCAATACTTAATTCATAAAATTGAAAACAATTAATTAGATGTCTTGAATTGGGGGGAGGACAATTAAAATCAATTTTCAATTTTTTCAAGGATGATAGTTAATATTCTTAGTATTTCAATCACTACAGTAACTAATGAATCTTCCTTTACCATCAATTCACATGTCTTAACAAAGTATAGAATTTCTCTTATTCTAACAAATGGTTAGGCTTTCATTTGTACTCGTAACTATTACATAGTTTTACTTTAGATAAAAGTGATGAAAACAAAAACTTTGATATTTTTATCACTGAAGAAAAGCTCGCCTCTAATGAAGAATAATCAAGTATTGTTGATCTTGATAATTGTGATGAAGATGAAGATAATAATTATATTGATGTTGTTAATATTTAGTTGCTTCGTTTTTAGGGTGAAGGGTCAAATATACCCATTATCATTATGAAAAGGAGCACATGAACACTTTAAAATAGGACAAAAATACTATCTCCGTTAGTTATAGCAAACGTCGGTTACTTTATTTTTTCGTGGGCTGCACTCATTCCAGATGTCATCCCCTATAGTGGAGTCCCATGTCTCTCCCTCTCTCTTTCTCTCCTCCTCCTTTTTCTGTCGATATGCTCGCCTTTTAAATAGAGTCGCTGGTTCCTTTAACTTTCCTCCTACTGGACGAGAAGACCTTGTCACTAGGAGAGAGGAGAGAATGGCTTCCCGATTGTCTCCAACACTACTTGAGACTTCTAACACATCATCATAATGGGGTATTCTTTGTTGAGGGGTTCGACATGGACAACCATGAATTCGGCCATACCTTGGCCACGTCGAGGCATGGAGATGGCAATGGGCAAGGTGTGACCTTGTTGAGGACAAGTTCAGTTAGTGAAGGTTGGGAAGAGGAGGAGGAGGAACCGAGCTGGTTCTAGAGTTGGGAGAGAGGAGAGGAAAAAGAAAGAGAGGGGAAGAGAGGATTAAAGGAGAAAGAGCATGGGACTCTAGTGCAGATGACACCTGGAATAAGTAGGGCCCACAAAAAAAATTAAATAACAGACGTTTGCTATAACTAATAGAGACGTTATATTTGCTATCAACGATAAAGTTGGGGGATCTCACTATATGAAGCATTTCATTGAGTGTATTACGGATATAGAACTCCTGGAGATTGAGAGTATTGGAGAAAGATTTACCTAGGAATGAAATTTAATGAAAGAAAAACTTGATTGGGCTTTCTCAAATACTCATTGAAATAATTCTTTTCCTTTTACCAAGGTGTACCACCTCAGTAAGTTTAGTTATGATCACAGGCCTCTTTTTATCCAATCTGTTATGGGTAATGAGATAAAGCCTTCCATATCACCCTTTCGATGCCAGGCAAGTTGGTTACTGGAACTAGACTTCATTGATGTAGTTAGAAAGAGTTGGGAGCAAGATTCGTGGGACAGAATAATACATGATTTCACAAGGTTAGCTGCAGAATGGAACAAAAGAAGGATTGGGAATATTCTGGAGAAAAAAAGAAGATTAATAAAGAGAATTGAGGGGTTAAAAGATCTAAGCAAAGAAGAGATAATTAGTACCTTATGCAAACTGAGAAGGAACTTTGGCAAGAATATAATAAAATTCTGGCCCAAGAAGAATTGCTATGGTACTAGAAATCTAGATGCAACTGGTTGAAATGGGGAGATAGAAACAGTAATTACTTTCATGATTCTACCATTGTCAAGAGACGAAGAAATAGAATTGATGGGCTTTAGAATGAAAATGATGATTGGAGCTTTGATCAGACAGAATTGAAGGGGATGGCGATTGAGTACCACAGAAACTTATTTACCAGTGAATAATCTAATCTTAGTACTCCTCCGGTCCTTATTATAAGACCCAATTTGACTTTTTATTTGGTCCTAATTATAAGACCCAATCCATTTTGTCTCTTATATTTATGCATTTTTTTTCCAAAATAATCCTTCTAATAATGATAATTTTAGCCAATATACTTAATTAGCAAGGATATTTTAGGAATGACAACACTTATTTATTATAAATAACCAACTTAACTTACTTCCTTAATCTCCTCAAATAAGTCAATTGGGTCTTATAATTAGGACCGGAGGAGTACTTTGACAACTCAGAGTTTTCCTAATCTGAATGAGGGGGACATCAGGGCATTATCTGCTATGGCCAATGAGGAAGAAATCAAAACAACGGCTTTTGATCTAGGGGTTCAAGGCACCAAGACCCGATGGTATACAGGCATTTTTCTTTCAAGAGTACTGGAATATAGTAGGTGAATCTGTATGTTAGATGGTAAAAGACATTTTTGAAGACCCAATGAAGATTACAGCTCTCAATGATACAAACCTAGTCCTTATTCCTAAAGTAAAGAAGCCTTGCAACATAAAGGAGTTCCGGCCCATATCACTTTGCAATGTAAGCTACAGATTGTGACAAAAGTGATTACTCACAGACTTAAGAACATCCTTCCCAAGGTGGTTGGGCACCAACAGTGTAGTTTCATTGTAGCAAGACAAAGTAGTGATAATATTATCACAGCCCAGGAAATTATTCACTCTATGAAAATCAAGAAAGGGGAAAAAGGATGGTTAGCTGTTAAAGTAGATTTGGAAAAAGCTTGTGACAAATTGGAGTGGAGTTTCATCGTAGACACTCTTAAAGAGATGGGGCTTGAAGAGAAGATATGTAATGTTATCATGGCATGTATCTCTACCTCTTCATCCCCGATCCTTTGGAATGGTGAGCAAACCGAGAAATTTAGAGCCATAAGGGGCAATCAACAGGGTGACTCTATTGAAGGGA